GATTCCAGATGTATTGCATGGTTTTAATGTCCATCCTTCACTGGATCTTTTATCTTGTTTTTGCGTGCAGAAAATTTTAAGTATTTTAGTTCCTTCGCAGGGATGTTTTGAAATGTTTCAGTAAAGAATTTGACAAGAATATACACTTACTCCTTTGTAGGTAGAAGAAAAGAGCAAAGTCCTCACAAATCACAATCAGCCAAGGGAGTCACCGAGTTAAAGTGTGAAATACTATCTAGTCTAAATTGCCAGCTTTCTCCATTCTAGTTTGTCAAGGTCCCTAGAGGTATTAGAAATATCGACATGCTGTGGAATTTTGCAGCGTATTGGGTTTGTGTGTGTGTGTGTGTACCTCTCTGCATTTACAAGCAGTTATTTTTATGCTTTATGTCATTAATTAAGTGGCAGTGTAATGAATATAGAAAACCAGTTGAAGTATGAGTCCTTTAAAATTTATAGGTAAGGCTGTTTATGAGCCTTTTCTTTAAAGGTAGATGCTACTCCAAGTTCCTAGTTGCTTATGCTTTTAGCTTTTGGATCAATAATATAGTCACAGCTCTGCATAAACTTTAGTGCAATAAGAGTCGATTCAGCTGCTACACACATTTAGGGAAGCCAAGACTATAAAAACAAGCCTAAACATGTTACTTCTTGAAAATCCACAGAACATCTTACTATACTGTTTTAAAGTGACAAAATCCAAGCCACTGTGAGAATCAAGCCTTATTAATTTTCTTCTGAAATAAAGCAAGACATTCTTTTCAACTTGCCTACATTTTCTTTTTAGTTTTCCATCTTTGATTTTTTTGAAACTCTTTGGTGATCTTAAGGATGGACACTTAGACGATAGGACAAAACTTTTTAGAGATCAATGTCATGGGTGAACTTTTAGCATAAGCTGTTTATTTATTTTATTTTTAGAAAGTGAGAGTGTGTGCGAGTGGGGGAGGGGGCAGAAGGGGGGAGAGAGAGAGAGAGAGAGAGAGAGAGAGAGAGAGAGAGAGAGAGAGAATCTCAAGCAGGCTCTATGCTTACCTTGGAGCTGGCATGGGTCTTGATCCCATGACTGCAAGATGATAGCATAAGCTTTTTAGAGCTATGATAAGAGAAAAAATACCTCTTGGAAACAGTTGAAACGGTTTTGTTTGTCTTTTTTTTTTTTTTTCCCCCGGTGTAGTATATAAGCTTGTTATCATTTAAAAATAATGGTTTCCTTGAGCTGTTTATGTTTCATTGTGTGGTACTTGGGAGAAGACTTATTTGAAAATAATACACTCAATTTAACACTTCATGCTTAACTTCTGATTTTATTGTTTTAAACTTTTTTTTAACGTTTATTTTTGAGGGAGAGAGACATAGCACAAGCAGTGGAGGGGCAGAGAGAGAGAGAGAGAGAGAGGGAGGCACAGAATTTGAAGCAGACTCCAGGCTCTGAGCTGTCAGCACAGAGCCCGACATGGGGCTCAAACTCATGAGCTGTGAGATCATGACCTGAGCCGAAGTCAGATGTTTAACCGACTGAGCCACCCCGGCGCCCCAACTTCTGATTTTATAAGTGCAGAAATTTATTTATACCATTTAATGTAAAGCCTCAGTGTGAAAGCTCTCTGTAGAGTCTACTTAGCTTTACTTTTCAATCACAAGATTTTGATCACTGTTACTAACTTACTTTGGCAAAATATTAATTACAAAAATACTTCAATATATATGTTCTCTCCATGTTTATTTTATCTCTAATAGTCTTAGAAATATAAGCACTACTTGTAATGCAATTTTTTTTTTTTTTTTTTGAAAGAGAGAATGGGAACTCGAGCACTTCGGGGAGAGGGGCAGAGGAAGCAAGAGGGAATCTTAAGCAGGTGCCACTATCAGCGCAGAACTGGTCTGGGGCTCCATCCAACAACCCTGGGATCATGACCTGAGCTGAAATCAAGAATTGGATATTTAACCGACTGAGCCACCTTGGTGTCCCAGAATGCACTCTTAAGAAATTATTTCCCTTAAGCAATATATTTAACCTAGGTCACACAATGGCAGTTTTATTTGGGTGGGAGAAATATGGACGTGTTTTTCCATTTTTCTACTTTCCTGTATTTGCAAATAGTCTATAATGAATGCATTACCTTTATCATAGAAAATAAAACATGTTGAGGGATGATTTGGGTTAAGTTTGATAATTATACTTTTTTTTTTTTTATGAATATCTAATAGCAAAGAGCAAAGTGGTGTTCCTTGTGTTTGCTGTGAAGTAGAGTTCAACTGCCTTACGGTAGAGAAGCTTATCATATATATTTTGTGTCAGCTTGGAGTTTTAATATCTCAATAGTGTTGTTGAAACTATCTGGTTGTTTGCTTTTCTGACCTATGACTTTATTCGCCATTTGTTCTGCTTCTCATACATTCTTTAAATTCTCTTTTAAATTTCTGTGAAATCTGTCCCTTAATTCGTTTTCTCTGCTTTAACTGAAATCTTCTTTTCTTGCCTTTATTATTGCAAAGGACACCTAGCTGGTTTTCCTGTCTCTGTTTTTAATCTATTCCCATCCCATTGCTCTATAGCAGTTAGAATGAGTAATTATCTGAAGGTTGATCTAATTATGTCACACAGATTCTTAAAAACCTTGCTTGCCTTCTCCATATCTGGGATCCAATCTAAGGTCTTTCATGATTTAACCCCTCCCCATCTTTTCTTTTCTTTTCTTTTCTTTTTCAACGTTTATTTATTTTTGGGACAGAGAGAGACATAGCATGAACGGGGGAGGGGCAGAGAGAGAGGGAGACACAGAATCGGAAACAGGCTCCAGGCTCTGAGCTATCAGCCCAGAGCCCGACGCGGGGCTCGAACTCACGGACCGCGAGATCCTGACCTGGCTTAAGTCGGACGCTTAACCGACTGCGCCACCCAGGCACCCCCCTCCCCATCTTTTCAATATTATCTCCCAACCTTGCTTTGCCCTTGTTGCTTTGGATTAACTTAAATGTTTGGCATTACCCATATTGCTACACTCACTCTTCCTCCAAGATTCTATCAAGTGGAACTTCTCTGCCTTCCTTATGTAAGAGGTACATGCTTCTTTTGAGGTTCCATAGCATACTAACTAAGCAGTTAATCACTCCAACTGCAACATGTCCATCTCTTCCACCAATGTATCTAGTCTCAAGGTTGACATCTTTGAGTTTCTCCTTTTTACAACACAACAGCTTTGCTCCTCTGGTCGTTCTCAGGCCACCTCCCTCACCAGCAATAAAAATCCCTTTCCTCTTTCTAAAATCTTCTTAAGGGGCACCTAGGTGGCTCAGAAGGTTGGTTGAGCTTCCGACTTCAGCTCAGGTCATGATCTCGCTGTTAGTGAGTTTGAGCCCCACATTGGGCTTGCTGCTGTCAACCTGTCAGCGCAGAGCCTGCTTAGGATCTTCTGTCCCCCTCCCTCTGTTCCCCGCTTGCACTCTCTCAAAAACAAACATTTTATTTATTTTTAATGTTTTTAAATTTACATTTATTTATTTTTGAGAGACAGAGAGAGACAGGACACAAGTGGGGGAGGGGCAGAGAGAGAAGGAGACACAGAATCGGAAGCAGGTTACAGGCTCTGAGCGGAGCCGTCAGCACAGAGCCCAACGCGAGACTCAAACCCACAAACTGTGAGATCATGACGTGAGCCGAAGTCGGATGCTTAACCGACTGAGCCACCCAGGCTCCCCAAAACAAATAAATATTTTAAAAAATAATATCTTCTCAAAATTCTGTGCCATCAGGACCCTGAATAAAAAAATGATTCAGAGAAGTTGGACTCAAAATGAAGTGTAAGGAATAAACTTATTTATTTAGCCTTAATTTCCCTTTATGTGTATCTTTGAATGTGGTGTGATTAGAAATGTAATGGGGTGCCTGGGTGGCTCAGTTGGTTAAACATCCGACTTTGGTTCAGGGTGAATTGGAGCCCTGTTTTCAGGCTCTATGCTGACAGCTCAGAGCCTAGAACCTGCTTCAGATTCTGTGTCTCCCTGGCTCTCTGCCCCTCCCCTACTCATGCTCTGTCTCTCAAAAATAAATAAAACGTTAAAAAAAAATGTAAGTACAGTTGACCCTTGACAATATGGGTTTGAACTGCACAGGTACTCTTATCTGAGGATTTTTTGAATAAATTGAGTCCAGATTGGTGAGTGTATTTTCTCTTCCTTTTCTTTAGCTTACTTACTTTATTATAAGAATATAGTATGTAATAACATATAACATAAAAATAGATGTTAACCGACTGTTTATGTTATCAGTAAGGCTTCTGGTCAACAGTAGGCTATTATTAGTAGTTAAGTATTTGGGAATTCAAAAATGATACATGGATTTTCAACTGTAAGGGCAGGAGGTGGGGCGGGGGCCAGGAGTGTTGGCATCCTTAATCCTCCTGTTGTTCAAGTGTCAGCTGTATGTCTAAAAGAGCTTATTTAATAAGTATAAAAAATTATGGGTGTTAATAAAGTTTTGTTTAGTCATCTACTTATTTTGAATATACTCCTGTCCCACCCATGAGGTGATCTCCTAATATATTAACATAGGCCATTTAACATAGGCCATTTAAAGCAATGCTTAAGGATAAAAGGAACAGTCCCCTAGTGTAAAGTTTCCTGAGGCCCAAGGACTTCTAGCTTCAGAGAGTCCAGGAACCCACTTGTGGTATGTAAAATGTGATTAAGCCTACGTTATTGTACTGAGGGGCGGGGGATGGGGAAGGTCCATTGCTTTCAAGAGATTCTCACGGGACTAAGTTTGAGGTTTTGTAGTCCCATGTTAATACCACCCCATATTTCATTCTTGTAATTAATTACAGTCATGTCCCTGTTATTAGCTAAGAGAAACCTAAAACTGGTGTGCCCAGGGCAGTGTTTCCCGAAGTGTATTCTGTAGACCATCTGGATCAGGATCATTTGAGGTCCCTGTTAAAAATACAAGTCCCTAAATCAACACCAAGTCAGCTAAATCAGAATCTGTGATAGTAGGGCACAGAAATCTGCTTTTTAAACCTACCACATTAGGCACTCTGGATTGTAGCACTATGATATGATAGATCCAAGGAGAAAATTAACTCAAGTGGAGTAATTTTTTTAAATGGATTAACAGTAACTAACACTAAGCACTTAACTACCTGCCAAGTGCTATTCTAAATGTACATTATATGGTTTAACTACTTAAATGGCTATAACATCATATATTATCCAATGTGAGGAAACTGGGATGGAGATTAAGTAGGCCAAAGACACACTGTAAGTGGTGACCCTGGGATTTAAACAATCTGGCTCCAGAGGTCAAACTCCTAATTGCTACCCTGTATTATTTAAGGCAGACCATTTTATTCGTTTCCTCCAGTTTTTTGTTGTTTTGTTTGTAGTTTTGAAAATATTTATTCTTAGTATTTACTATCACTTAAAGCTTTACATAGAAACCCATGTAAAAAAGTCATTTTCTTCTTCAAAAATGAATAAAGGAATCCAGAAAACATATCTGCAATGCGTAGCTAAAGTAACTATATCAAATTAAAAACCTTGGTATTGAGAAAATATACTTTAAGCAAAATTGATTAAATTGTTTTTTTTTTTTTAACATTTACTCATTTTTTTTTTAATTTTTTTTTTCAACGTTTATTTATTTTTGGGACAGAGAGAGACAGAGCATGAACGGGGGAGGGGCAGAGAGAGAGGAAGACACAGAATCGGAAACAGGCTCCAGGCTCTGAGCCATCAGCCCAGAGCCTGACGCGGGGCTCGAACTCCCGGACCGCGAGATCGTGACCTGGCTGAAGTCGGACGCTTAACCGACTGCGCCACCCAGGCGCCCCAACGTTTACTCATTTTTGAGAGACAGAGTGTGAGTGGGGCAGGGGCAGAGAGAGGGAGACACAGAATCCCAAGCAGGTTTCAGGCTCTGAGCTGTCAACACAGAGCCTGACACGGGGCTCGACCTCATGGACCGCAAGATCATGACCTGAGCTGAAGTCAGATGCTTAACTGAGCCACCCATGCACCCCAAACTTTAAGCAAAATTTAAAACATACATGTTAATGTTTGTTGATTTGGGTGGTTTAAATTTTTATGTTTCTGTGTTTACACATTTAATGGCAAAATGCAAATGTGTTAAAAAGAATCACTACCTAAAAGAATTTTTTAAACTATGATTTATTACCTGAAGCAACTTTCAGCTTGAATGATTTGGAACTTTAGTTGAATCCTACATGATTTTGGGGGATCATTTATTATTCAGACAGTGGTACATGTTCCTCATTGTTATCTCTGAGATGTAAATTATACTGACCTTCACCTTTCTTGAATTACTTTGGTAATGTTAACATATTACTGTAACATTAACTTAAAATTCTTTTATTTTAGACAAGGAAGGAATAGGCAACTCCAGCTACTCCTCAGAGATGGAATTTATTTTTTTGTGTCAGATATGTGAGTATAATTATTCAAGTTACCGAAGCTATTTTTTATGTTTAGGATCACAAAAAGTAATTTCCCAGTTTGCCAAAAGCTTTGACCATTGAGGTCTGATAAGCAAATAAATTTATTTCTACACAAAAATTAAAGGATACATTAATTCCTTCGTAAGAATATAGGTAAGAAACAGTGGCTTAGAGAAACTATCTCAAAGCTAGTCAGCAGGTAGAGTAAGTCACTGGACCACTAATTTGGTATTTTCTTCCACTTTAATTTTTAATATTTTTATTATCAATAGTTACCCATAGCTTAACATGCTGACATAAAACAGGTTGTTGCCTTGGACTGATGCCAGAAACCAGTAATCTATTTTATTGGAACTGTTACCTATGAGACTCCCCGAAGTTCACAAAGGAGTCACTATGGTAAGTGATCACATTGAGTAGTTAGCAATTTATCATTCCCGTGTTATGACGATTCCCAGCACATCTCAGTTCTCTTTGAGTAAATACAAAATTTGGGTGACATAAATATCATATACAGCAGTCTTTGTTACTTCATTAGCTATCAGTTCACATCAGGCAAGGTCATTTTTTATGTTCGGAATCAGGATAGCACCATCTATGGCCTAGCTTTTCCAGAATGAATTAACGTTTATAATGTATTGTGAGGTCTCTGAAGGAGTACTTGATACATTTGGGGGAATATTTAACAGGCATAACTTTTTTCCACTTTCCTCAATGGAAGGCTTTTCTTCCTTTAAAACATTTTTTCCTCACCACAACATTGTACATCTGGCAGGGATTTGACATAGAAAATCTTTTTAAGTCTAACTTCATTTCCTTGCTTTTTGTCTTGTGCCAGATTTTCTGTATTTCAAGTCACCCAATGCTCCCCTCTTCTTCTAAACTTAGGACATTAAATATCTGAATCACTTTTACATATATCTACACTTTATTCTCTATAATTGTGCAATGATAGGAATCGCTATACTATTAGCTACATTTCACTCAGCACCTGTGTGTGAGATGTGTTAATTCTCACACTATAGGTAAGAGCCAACACTTACTAGGTGATTATTGTATAACAGGGATTGTTCTAAGTGCTTTACATTAATTAACAATTTAATTATATTAATCCTCATAAAAACTCTATGAAGTAGGTACTACTACTAATAATTGCAGTTTATATGAAAAACTAAGGAATGGAGAGATGAAGCAACTTACCCCAAATCATAGACTAAGTGATGGAACTGGGTTAGGAACTTGGATAGTCTAGTCTACCCTCGAATTGGGAAAACTGTTTTACACCTGTTTCTCCTTTACACTACAGCTATACTCACAATACTTCTGACACCAGATGTGAATTGCCCCCCCCCCCCAAGCAATTGTGTTGGGTGTTGTACAATTTAACTCAATTCTGACACTCTCTACCTGGAGATAATTCAAGTTGTTACCGTGGTTCTGACTGATCAGCTATAATCTGAGGTTCCCATGACCCCCTTCCTGGGTCCAATTAATTTGCTAGAGTGTCTCACAGAACTCATGCAAACACTTATGTTTATTACCAGTTTAAAGGTATAAATGATACCTTTATGATATGGATAAAGGATACAGATGAATAGTCAGATGAAAAGATGCATAGGGTGAGGTGTGGGAGGGTGCCAAGCATAGAAGCTTCTGCCCCCATGAAGTTGGAGAGCATCACCCTCCAGTGTGGATGCATTCACCCATCTGGAAGCTCCTTTGAACTTCATACTATTGGGATTTTACGGAGGCTTTTTCACATAAGCATAATCAATCATCAGTTCCATTTCCAACCTCTCTCCTCTCTCCAGAGAATGGAGAGTGGGGCTGAAAATTCCAAGCTTCCAATTATGGCCTGGTCTTTCTGGTGAGCCATCACCATCATCCAAAAGCCATGCCAGGAGCCCACCCACAGTTAGCTTTCGGCTCAGATCATTCACAGTCGTGGGATTGAGCCCCAGGTTGGGCTCTGCAGCAAGTGTAAAGCCCACCTGAGATTCTTTCCCTCTCTCTCTGCCTCTCCCCGGCTCATGTGTGTGCACTCTCTCTCTCTCAAAATAAACATTAAAAAAAAAATAAAGAACAAAAGATGCTCCGAGTGCTCTTATCACTTGGGAATTAACAAGGGTTTACTGTTCCAAGAATTGGGACAGAGCCAGTACATCTATTTTCTATTATCTCACAGCTCTTAACCATTGTTATATCACCTCTCCAAGGTAGGTATAATTGTACCATGCAGATGAAGGAGTCTGACATCAAGTAATTAACGCAAAAACACCCAAACTGCAAAACCTTTACTTTTCCTACTGTATCAGAAAAGGAAGCGTAGGATGGGGCTTTGAAGCCAGAAAAGCTGCATTGAAATCCTGACTCTACTAAATAGCTGTATGACCTTCAGAAAGTTGTTTTTCTGGGTCACAATTTCCTCATCTTTAAAATATGGCTAATAGAATTTACTGTACAAGAGTTGTGAGGAATAAGAAACTAAGTACACTAAAGTGCTTACAAAAGTACCTTAGCACTTACTAAGTTTTCATTTTATTTCCAACCAACCTCTTTATGAGGAAACAAAAGATAAAATTACTTGACACGTGCTACTGAGAAAGCTGTAAGCCAGAGATAAAGATAATGAAAGCTCCTATTAAGCCTGTCTGGGTCCAAATCCCAAGTGTATGTCCTTTATAAAGTTAACCTCCTGGAATTTCAGCATCCTCATAAACGATACATGGAGAACAGTACCACGCCTCAGAAAATCATTGTAAAGGTTAAATTTGGTGACACACAACTGGTACATGGCAATTGTCTAATAAATATTAACCAGTGATCATCTCTGCATCTCTAGCAGCTAGATATTATTTAATGAACAGTGGCATAGTTAGAACATCTTTTGTGCATTCCTTCTCTAGTCCTGTCATTTCCTTTCCTGGCATCATCCCAACTATTTTTCATTTTCATCTCACGGGCACCTGGGTGGCTCAGCTGGTTGAGCATCTGACTTCGGCTTAGGTCATGATCGTGTGGTTCATGAGTCTGAGCCCCACATTGGACTTGCTGCCGTCAGCCAGTCAGCACAGAGCCGCTTTGGGTCCTCTGTCCCCCTCTCTGCACCCCTCCCCCCTTGCACTCTCCCCAAAATAAATATTAAAAAAAAATTAGTTCACCATCGCATCTCTTTCCTACTGTAAAAACCAGGGTAACTAAAGAAAAATGTAACTTTTTTACTATTTAAATTTGTCACTTACCTAGCAGTAAAACTACCAAATTTTCAGCAAATGGAGTATACAAACCAACTGCTACAAGTCACCAGTACAGTATGGAAAATGGAATTTTTACCTTATTTACCACATTGACTATTAGAAATATACACAATTAATGTAATTAAAGTATATCTCTTTCTACTTTTAACCGAAGTTCCTCTACATTCCTAAGCTTTTACTACACACAATGTACACAGTCTTTAAGTTGACAAACCTATTAACAAGTATCCTGCTCATGAATTACACTTAGGTAAGTGAAATATGTGTCAGAACTGTTTTACAGACTCTTACAAATAAGATGATTGCAAAGGTACATTCTTTTCACTTTACAAGAAAAATATTAAAAGTGTTCTAAGTTTGACTGTTGCTTCACAACCATCTGTGAAATTTTCATAGACTACTACTTGACAGATTACTTTTTTCAACACCTCCGTTTTTCCCAAGTACTTTCATATTGCTTCCAAATATAAAAGTACTACCTCCATACTATTTTTTAGTATGACTTCAAAGGACCAAAAAAAAAAAATAATCATAATAATAAAATAAAACTGAACAACAACCCAAATATCCCTGTCGACAAGAATTTTTAAAATTTAGGGTTAGGTATTATATATCAATACAATAACTTCGGTTAAAAATAAAAATTTATTGATCTAAAGTTATTGCCAAAAAACTTAAGCTAAGTGAAAACTTTATTTAAGCTTAATGCTCTTTTTAACTCCTGCACGAATGCCAGAGAGTTCACCACTATAACGTTGCTCTTCTCTACGAACTTCACGAACTTGGCCTCTTCTGCGAATTTTGGCTCTTCTGAACTTCTCCCGGTGTTTGACTCTAGGGTTCCGATCAATCTTCTTTCTCCTAGGTGTAAGTCCCCTATTTTTAGCAATCTGATAAGTAATGGCTCTCTTTGCATTTTGATCTTCAAGAGCCTGTTCTTCAGTGCTATTTTCTTCTTTCTTTCTCTTCAACTTTTGCTTGTCTTCTATTTCTCTATAGTATTTCAGTGCAGCTTCTTCATCAAAATCAGAATCATCAGAAATATCTGGAACAGCAGAGGCAGCAGCAGCAGCAGTCTCTGAAACAGATTTTGGCTTGGCCTTGGTGGATTTTACTTTTAAACTCAGTTCTTTCTTTCCAGCATCATCCTTAAGTGTGAGTAGATGACGAATTTCAGAAGACAGCTTCTGATCTACAACCGACAACTTGTTGATCAAATTTCGGTAGGTAACAAGCCTTTCTATGACAGGATGTCCATGTGCAGGGACTCTCCTGGCTTTCAGGATCAAATAAAAACTGATGTTGGAGCAGTAGTTCAAATAGAGATTGTACTTGGTCCTCAGGTATTGGCTTCCTTTTCCAGATGGAATGATCCCTTGCTCCACCAACTGTAGCAATGGCTCCAGCTCATCCTTCACTTCTGTCAACTTAACTTTCAGGTCTTCTATCAGTTCCAAGAGCTCTGGTGATTCTTTCCGCAGCATCTTCAGCTTCTCTTTCACTGAAACTTTCGCCAGATCCTTCACGACCCGGGTCTCAGCCTCATCTACCTGACGTACAGGTTTTGCAAAGGCCTCTACCCAGGTCACCCCAAAATCATCCTCTTGCAGGCCTTGGGCAAGGCGCCGCTGTATGAGCTGTGCTTCTTCTTCCTCCTCTCTTTCCTCCTCCTCTACTTCTTGTTGACTTTGTCGGTTTCGGGGCTTGGAACCGTAGTCTGTGTCATAGTAAAGTTTTTTCCTCTGACCCCACGACAAACTGGGATCCACAGATGCCTCGGCCTCACTCTGCACGGAGCTCCCACCACCATCATCATCATCATCTTCCTCCTCCTCCGCACTCTCTCCATCTTCATCGTCCTCATCAGCAATATCTAGGGCTAGAACCTCCTCCTCCTCATCGCCATCCTCCTCCTCGTCCCCACTCTCCATTTCGCTCCAGCCTTTAGACAAGACGGCCCGAGATCGGGCCTCATGGAAATCATCTACCTTATCTTGATAGTAGCTGGAGTCCCCTGGCGACGGTGGCAATTCTAAATCGTCTTCATTTTCGTCCGCTGGGCCGGGACCTGCCTTGGCTCGCATAGCTGCCCACTTGGCCGCTCCGCGCCGCCGCGATCTCCCCACCATAACTCACGGTCTCAAATTCTACACCGACGTCGGGCTTTTGGCCACCTCTGACCTCAGCGCACGAGCCACGCGCTCCAGTAACACGCCTCTTTGAACAGCCACGCGCTCTCCTCCCAGGCGAGTGTACAGGCAAACAGGTCGGCTACAGATTCCACCTCCTTCCGGGCCCCAGGATCCTCTCCGCTTGGCGAGTGAACTAGGACTTCCGCTCAGCCCCGTAAGCTTTGTCACGTTAGGAGCCCTTCCGTTTTCGCTTTTGCACTTTAATGCCAATCTATTCCGGTGAATTAAAATCCTTCCGTGTAGGAACAATAAATACTGGAAGTTCCGTTCCGTAGAGCCCTGTGAGACTTCTTACTCTCGCGAGTCTAGGCGTGGATGGGACGCGGGATCTTGAGGGACCGCGAGGCGAAGTCGTGGGGGCCGGTAGAGGGGGCTCTATCTCTTCGCGTAGGAGAGGCTCCTGGCTAGTTGTACTGCGCATGTACCGGGCGTTTCCGACCTGGAGACGAGCGTAGCTCTATGGGAACTCTCTAGGTTCTGGAATTGTTATCTACCTTCTCCGCCTATCAGCCTAGAAGTTAAACATGTTGTTTTCTCTCAACAAAGTCTAAATACTCTCTATCTGGGCACCATAACCTGAGGCCGTGACGGCGCCGCTGGCCTCCAGAATCCTGGCAGAGCCTCGGATTAGCCCATCTCCAGCTCTCTGCCCCATCAGGGCTCGGTGACTCGGCGGTGATTTGTGTCTCTCAGGGGTCCCGCGAGGGACACGCGTTAATCAATCTCACGACTCTTGGCAATTCTAAATGGGATAGGGATTGTGAACTTTCGTCCAGTGTTACGCAGCGTTCAGCTGCCGAAAACACTCGACGCGCCTTTCACATCGCTGCCTTTGTACACGCCATTCCCCTTATTTAAAAAAAAAAAAAAGGGTGTAGTCCTCCTACCCAAATTTGGGAAATTTTTACTGTATTGAAGAGATCTTAAGCATTTTCTGTGTGGTCTCTTTACTTACCTACTTGTCTTTTCCTCCCTTCTTTATACCTAGTAGATCTCTGCAAGCACTTATACTGAAAGGACCCAATACAGTGTCTGGCAGAGTAAGTTTAATGAATAAGTATTGAAATTACAGTATTCCTTATCTCAGATGCTACATAAAACACTGAATGAATGATGCATAAAGCTGCAAACGTTCCTAAAGGCAATAACCTGGCTGGAATGGATTTTAAGAAACATTAATTCAACTACTTTAATTTTATACATGTGGAAACAGACTTAGGGAGGTTACATTAGCATACCTGGCACAGAAACCAGGGGCAGGGCTCCCACACCAGGCTTTCACATTGAGCTGTTATCAGTCCTTTGCGTCTTCAGTGTGAATGAGTTTCAGACCTTTTCCTGAGGGTAGGTTTTGCTGGGTGGATGAAAGAAACCAAGAGCATAGGTTAAAATATTTGAGGAGGAGGGTGATAATAAGAGAAGAATTAATCAAACTTTAGAAGTGTTTTTAGGGCTAGAAGTATGAAAGGACTGTCCTATAATCTTAGACTAATTTAAGGTTTTCATACATTGCATATGATAGATTAAGATTTTTAGTATTAATGACACCTTCAAATGTAGGGAGTTGAGTTGAACTTTCTATATGATGCTAAAATTAAGAGTGACACACAATTTCTTTGGCGAACATATAGTGTCTTTAAGAAAAATACAAAATTTTAGAAAAGTTGTATTTTGAACTAAACAATATTTTTAAAGTGTTAAAAGTTATGTTAAGCATGTTAAAACCTTTATAACATTTTAGAAAATACAATTTAATGAATTAAAAAGGTATGGGTAAAAGTCCTATGTTCTGATGGTAAGCAAGAATTCACCTCTGAATGTGATTTTTAATAGGTTTTATCATTAAGCAAATATTAACTGCTTACTAACTGTAGCAGAATACTACATGTGTAGTAGATACAAAGGTAAATTAGCCATAGTCTCTTCCATTAAAGAGTTTATAATTGGATACAAAAGAAGACAAGCATACACAGATTACTAAATTACCGAGCAGTGTGTGATGTAAACCCAGTGCTGTGAGAGATCAGAGGGGCGAGAGATTGCCTCTGGATTGTTATTCTGGAACATTGCTTAAAAAAATGTTGCATCTAAGTGGGACTGTAATTATATCCTTGCTTTAAATGTATTAAAAGTTAAGTTTTATTTAGGCCCATAAATCCAAGTTTTTCTGCTTAATTTTGTTGCAAATTATTTGAGAATTTATGGCCATATTTCAGGACCATAATGCATACATTTTTATAGAGAAATTAGAAAAATATTTTTGTTACTTTTAATGGGAATGATCACATTGCTCTAATATTATGTAGTTTATACTAATGATTGCATTTCCTAACTATTCAGAATAGAGTTGCAATATCCAGTGCATATTGAGAGAATGCTATAGTCCAACATTCTCAGATCTTTTTGAAAAGGAACCATTCAGAAGCTAATTATTCAATTCCAGCAGCTCCTATAGCCTGATCTTCCATAGCTTAATCTTAGAATTATTTACTGTTTAGGTGGGGAAATTTTTCTTCTTAAAAAACTTGTATTTCTGAAAAGACAGCTTAGCAGCTTTGTTATAAGCCTGTGCCAATTAAAGAGAAAAACACATAGTCCCCAGAGAAAAGGAATAAATATTAAATAACATTTGACATTTAACCATTATATTTGTGGCAACTATGGTTTATCATCAACTTTAATATTACATTATTGTGATGCTTGGCTTAGGAGTTAGCAAGCTACACATAATGAAGGCCACCAGGTTTTTGTTTTGTTTTGTTTTGTTTTCTCGAGAATATCCTTTTTGCCTTATTCTAAGCTCTAAGACCTTTGGGGATTTTCTTACTGTGGAAGGTAGGGGTTTGTAAATGACACACTAAATGTTATTAGGATACTTTATTCAGGGCATGAGTTCTGGGTGTTGAAGGTGTTCTATCGCCAGATTTGCTTAAATTGAGCTCAGTTATGGACTATACAGCAGTAGCAATTATAATAGCAACAACAACAATAACTAACATTGAGAGCAGTTATTATGGGCCAAGAGGTGTTATAAGCTCTCGAAATTCAGCTCTATGAGGAAGGTACTACAATATCTCTAATTTAAGAAACAGAGACACACAGAGCTTAAATGAGGTCATAAGGCTAGTAAGTGGTAGAACTAGATTTGAACCCAGACAATCTGGCTTAAAACCCACACTGTACTATAGCTAACTGCTTAGCTAGTACTGGCTTTCATATATTTTCTTAATAGGTTTTCTCATTTCCAGTCTCTGCTGTACATTTGATTCAGTATCATACGATATATCCTCCTAGAATATCATTTCCATCATCCCACACCCTTGTTTAAAACCTTTTTCAATGACTCTCAGTTACTATCAAGATAAAGTTCATACCGTACATGACCTTCCCTCAGTTTGCCAAAAAGTAGCCCTTCCAGCCATACGTTTTATTATTCCCCTACTGAAACCTTTCATTCTAACTTATGTGCTCTACTGCTCTAGTCTCCAAACATTGCTTTGCAATTTCAGTATCTTCATAATTACTTATGTTAGAAATTTACAAATCATTGCAGATATCTTTTTGGCTAACAAAGAAATCTCACATAAGTCCGTAAGGGAAACTGTATGAGACTCTTTGAAGAACTATTATTGATAGCAGGGACTTAGAGACAACCTGGATGCCTGTCCCTGGAAGAGCAGATCAATAAAAGGTCATGGATGAACATCGTGGAATTTAGAAGCATGGGATGACCCTATATCTTGGTGGACCTGGTACAGTCCTGTTTAATCTGTTATTCTGGTACAATTATTAATAGCACTCTTTTACTCTCATGATTGAGGTTATAAATTATTTGGCCATCTTAACTACATAGTAATTAGAAACAGTGACTGGAAACAGTGGATTATATATACACAGAGCAACATGAATTGATATTAAAAACATTGTGCTTGGGGAGAAAAGCAAAAAATGAGATGCATACTACTATATTGTTCACATATAGAAATGCATACACAAAAAATACACGTTTTGCAAATACATATAAACAAAATAATGTGAAAAGAACAATTGTTTATGAAGGGGCAAAAAATGGGATGATGCTTGGAGATTAGAAAGAATGGGAGAGGAGCCTTCTCTGACAAAAAATGATAATATGCCAGAAACTGAGGAGAATAATCAATTATTTGCATCTAAGATTCAATTAAAAAACAAATAAGCAGACAGAAAATGACCATATAGGTCCCTAACTGAGAGTCCTTTAAAAGCCTCCAATATCTATGGGATCAAGTTTATATTCCTTATGATTTGACTCTTGTGTACATCTTAAACTTTACATCATACCCCATGCTCAGTGTCACCATACATAATATAGCCTTGTTTATATATGTGTGTATGTATACACACACATGCACACACACACACAGGCTGTGCTCTTTCTTGCCTCTTTTCCTTTGTACATATTGTTTCTTCTATACTTTTTAGAGAACTCTTATTTATCCTTTAAGACTAATTTTATTTTATTTTTATTTTTATTTTATTTTTTTTCAACGTTTATTTATTTTTGGGATAGAGAGAGACAGAGCATGAACGGGGGAGGGGCAGAGAGAGAGGGAGACACAGAATCGGAAACAGGCTCCAGGCTCTGAGCCATCAGCCCAGAGCCTGACGCAGGGCTCGAACTCCCGGACCGCGAGATCGTGACCTGGCTTAAGTCGGACGCTTAAGCGACTGCGCCACCCAGGTGCCCCTAAATGACACCTTAAAAGCCTTTTCTGGCCTCCTCAGGGTGAAGAGGTTCCTCTTTTGCATTCCCATAATGTTTCGTACATCTTTCTCTTTATACTTACTGCTCTTCCTCCGCTAAGCCTCTGAGCCCCATTAAGTCTGGGTCCATGTAGTCATTTTTTAAATCTTCAGAATCTAGGTCAGAACTTGAGTAAATATGTTGCTATACTCACTGTAAGCCTATCAAAGTGGCAGCCTTTAACAATGAATTGCAGTATCTTTTGTGCTTCTCTAGTCATCACTATTCTCCTTTTAAATGTAAAAGTAACATGTAATATTTAATGTATGGCTTTGTGTACTTAAGCTAATAGTTAAATGCACATTTACTTGCAATGCCAGTGTCATAGACTAGGTTGTGTTGACTGAAGTAAAAACAAGTAGTGTGTTTTTTACATTTTTAATGCTTAGAGAAGTAGTAATGGTAAAAATAATTTTATATGATAGCAATAATGGGAAAATGCATCACTGATAGTTCATTCAGATAGTTCGATATAATCACAGAAA